AGAGTGAGGAGGGCTGAGCAGATTAGCCAGGAAGGGGTAAGGAGAGGAAAGTGTGTTCAGAAGTCAGCATCCTGAAATGGCACCAGGTACCGAGAATCGAGTATTTCATGTTGTGTGTTGGTTTAGCAGGAAGGAACTTAGAGGTGTCCAGCAGCTGAAGAGGGTAGACGCCATCTCGGGGTTGCCGGAGGGGGCATCTCTCGTGTGTGGGTGCCAGACCTCCAGTGTACATCACTGCCCATGGGGAGGGACTGAGGCTGACAGAGGGGATGTAGGGTTGGAAGTAAGTTAATGTGGGCTTAGATGGTGCCTAACCCTACCTGATGCATTCACCACTGGATACATCATTTATGTAACGATGGGAAGAATTAACGACGTCTGACATTTTTTTAGACGCTCTCGTGTTATTTTGTGCGGCATCATTAGCCTTCCCTTAGTCACTAGAGGGCGCTGCACCCTTCAGAGTAACGAGGGCACTCAAGATTCTGTAAGACTGAGAGTTGCCACGAAGATTAATTTAGCCGCTATATTTATCGCTCTGTTACTGCTCTGTCCATTAATGAGTCTTCCTAGTGGTGTTAAGGACAGATTGTCTCAGTGTCTTTCTGTGAAGGACACCGAGCTGGCGTGCTGTACCTGCTCTTTTCAGCCTGCCGGTTATCAGGCGTGTGGACGGCCAGCCATGTCCACGGAATGAGAGATTTCAGGGAAGGGTGGTGGCAGATTTGTGAAGGACGTTGGGAAACTCGGGTATCACCATATAACTTTAAATTGTATACGTTTGTGTTAGTGAGTGGCGAGTGTAACCTCTTACCTCTTACTCTCTTTGTCTTTCATCAGCCACGGCTAGTCTGTTCAAAGAGCATGCTTTATTTTATTCCTCCCCACCGGCAATGGGGTGGAAACTTTGTAGGCTATTAAGATCACATATGTTTTGTCATCGTGGATGTAGGACCTGACGGACTCTGGTTAGTACCATTTTACAGTGAAGCATGAGCCATGTGTCCTGTGATGAGGGAACCTTGTGCTGCATGATCAGTGCAAGGCCACATCACTGACTGTTCAGTGCTCAAGAACAGGGGCTCGGGGGCCTTTGTTTACCTCCCCACCTCGGCCTCTTTCATTGGCCATGCAACTTTGAACAATGATGCAGACTTTGTCTTAGCAGTTTCATTTTTAGGGTAAAAACCCGATGCCCAGGAAGCGTTTGGAACGTTCAGTGTTCTATTGCTTGTAATAGCAAAACAATTGGAAGCAGTCAAATACCTTATGAGTGTGATAAATTGTTGAATGTGGCAGATAAAATGAACCAGAAACCGGTAACAACAGGAGTGTTGTTTTTTTAATCTTTATTGATTTTTGAGAGAGAGAGAGAGAGAGAGAGAGAGAGAGAGTGAGCAAGCGAACAGGGGAGGAACAGAGAGAGATGGAGACAAAGAATCCGAAGCAGGCTCCAGGCTCTGAGCTGTCAGCCCAGAGCCTGATGCAGGGCTCGAACCTGCGAACTGTGGGATCATGACCTGAGCCGAAGTCAGACTCCTAACCGACTGAGCCACCCAGACGCCCCAGGAGTGTGTGTATGTATGTATGTATGTATGTATTTATTTATTTATTTATTTAATTCAGTATATGAAATTTATTGTCAAATTGGTTTCCATACAACACCCAGCGCTCATCCCAAAAGATGCCCTCCTCAATACCCATCGCCCACCCTCCCCTCCCTCCCACCCCCCATCAACCCTCAGTTTGTTCTCAGTTTTTAACAGTCTCCTATGCTTTGGCTCTCTCCCACTCTAACCTCTTTTCCCCAGGAGTGTTTTTATAAGAACAGTGTTGAGCAAAATTTAAGACAACAGCTTAAGTGTATCCTTTATATAAAGTCAATATGGCAGAATGAAAGAATGAAAGGATCTGACAAAATAGAATGATGGGATCCGGTCCTGGTTAAGATTTTTATAACGTAGTACAAAACAGTAAGTGGGGCTAATGGAAGAAGCTTCATCTAGGCTGAGAAAAGGTTCTCAGCCTTTTCAAATGGGAGGTTTGCACCCACAAGCTGGGGCCACACAACTCGGGTTTTAAAAAAACGGGTAGGATTCTATAGGTGAAAGATGTTAAGGAGTCCAGCTCTAGGAGGAAACCTAAACCGTGTTAAGGCGTAACATGGGGTTATTGGTTCAGAATGGGGAGTGATCTGTAGGCAGTGAAGATTGTGTGCTTTGAACCTTTGGGGATAATTCTGTCAATAAAACCTGACATTTTAAGGATGAAACTTTTAAGACAGTTTCTCATTAAACATTTTAAGACAGTTTCTCATGATCGGGATTCCAGTGAGCTGACATAAAGTGGATCCAGTCAGTCAGACTTGAGGGACACAGGGAAGCTACCTTAACATTGAGGAGCAGCCTTGTCGGTGGAACAAAGTGCAGGGCTTTGGGGCAGCTCTTCTGATGTCCTTTTACATAGATTCTTGGCTGTTTTCTGTGTTTGCAGCTTTCAAACTGCCCCCCCTCCCCCCGCCACAGCCCATAACCGGAAATATTTTACATCGTGACCTGATGTATACTCCTGTGCATACGTTTTAGTGAGTAGCAACATGCATGCAGGTGACTTAAGTGAAACAGACTGTTTGTGATAAGCGCCTGTGTTTTCTGTTCGATTTTGATTTGTCATAAAAGAGAACTGGTTAGCAACTCACTCGGTTGATTTTGCAGCCCCAGTTTGAAAAGGAGTGCATCCAGCTGCCAGGTGCCACGGCCGGTTCTGGCGCTGGCGCTGGCAGGTGGGGTAGCACGGGCGAGGAGGTGGCTGCCGCGCCCGTCAGGGTGGTGGGTCCATCCCAGCAGCCGTGCCAGCCTGCTGTTTGCCCAGGTCTGCAGTTTTCCCCCTTCGAGGAGTCCTTCTGGGAGTTTCGCAGATGGAGGTCATGCAGCAGACATAAAAGTTGTCCTTTTTCTTCCTTCGTACCCTGGGTGTCTGTACTACGTTCAGTCCGGTTTTGTTCCAGTGCCAGGGAAGCGATGTTCTTTTTCTTGATTAAGCCCCCTTTCCCTTATTTTCTTCTTTCTTCCGGTCACTCAGTTACTGTTTCTCTAGTGTCCTTGGTCTTTCTGCCAGCACCTTCCCGTCTCCTTGCAGACAAATTAGTTTCGTCCCCTCCTTTTAAAGCCTTTCATTTGTGCTCTTTCCCCATCTAGTTACCCCGTTCTTTAACTGTTGGGCTTTTCGAGTCGTCCTGCTCGTCACGCTTGTACCTCACCACCCCTCTCTCGTTCACCCTTCGCGGCCTCCTGTTGGCTTTTACTACAGTTGTGTTACCACGGTTGCTCTCTCTGCTGGGAGCCCATTGGCCTTCCCTGGGTCTTTAGTATTTGGTGTTAATGATCTGCCTCTCTGTTGTTAAGCCCTTCCCCAAATCTTTTATGATCAGAAAAGGCAATACAGATTAATACTTGCTTGTGGTTAAAAATTGTCTGTATTGACGTGCACAAAGCAGTGAGTAAAAGATCCCGTGTTCCAGAGTTGACCACTGCTATGTATTGGTGTCGTGTTCTCGTACAGTTTTCTATTTGTACATAAACATGTCCCCATGTTTTTCTTCCTAAGACAAATGGGCTTATAGTAGATACTTGGTTTTTTTAAAAATTTAGTTTTCGATTGCTCATATTCCAGTAGTTAGGACAGATATTTTGCTTGATATTTTTTCTGCCACCAAATGGTAAGTGCTGGGAAGAAAACAATGATCTCTAACGTCTTCCTCCCTGTTTTTTTATTTTACGTAGAACGGTGCCTCACGCAAATAGGTGATCAGTGTGTATTTGTTCAGTCCCGTGTACGGAGCTGACAATTCCATTTCTCACTGATCTCAAACAGGCATAGTCACGTGACCCTGCTCTGCTGGAGTGTGCACTGAGCAGTAAAAGAGTCAGATGTGCCAGTAGCCGTTGGAATAAGTGCGACGAGGCCAGTGTGCCAGAGGGACACGGGTGGTTGAGGTCTGATAGTCAAAGTAAGGCCTTTGTCAGGAGGGAACGTCGAAGCCGAGCTCTAAGTGATGACAGGGGGAGAAGGGTGTTTCAAACAGAGGGAATGGCCGCTACCGATGACACGGGGAGGAACTTAGTCATGTGCCCCATCAGGCTGACTTGATCTCCTTGCTTTTTGTTGTGAACATACGGCTCGTTGTCCTGTTTTGATGGTTCTTCAGAAACAGTTTTTAAGTAAATGGCGTTGACCTAGGACCGTACTAATACCACAGTCACTGGCCACGTGTGCTACTCAAATTGAATAAAATTGAATAAAATTAAAAATTCAGTTCCTCAGTTGAACTGGCTGTATGTCAGGTGTTGTGGACAGTGTGACCGTGGACCAAACCAGTGTGCAGAAAGCTGTCCTGCGCAGCGCTGTTTTGGAAAAGCCACAGAATACAGACTCCTTGGGAGACTTTATACCCTGTTCCAGCTGTTCGTGTCTGATGTGTGAAGGGCGAAGAAATACTTGTGAAACGACAAGATGAATAAAGGAGTGGAAGGTCCGCGTGTCTTTCCACACAGGGAACAACCCAGTTAATGTGTGTGAGCTCTGAGAGGGGAGGGGGCTGGTGGGGCTTGAAGAACGGCGGGAGGGCTGGCTGCCGCGGACGAGAGTGATCGTTGGAGACCCCCCAGGCAGAGCGAACCCTTCTGGACGTGGACTTACGTACAGCGGGCGGTGGTGGTAGGGTTGTTAGCACCGCAATAACGGGACCTGATCGGGATGCCCGCTGTGCACCAACTGTTTCTTTCATTTTCCTCGCCTTCTGAGAGTTCAGTAGGAGGGTGGGCGTGATGGTCTATTGAACTGAGTATTGGAGTAAGTAAATTATCTGCTTGAGACCCAGATTACGAACTCACTTCATTTACAGTGTTAGCACTGGCACCCTTGTTTTATGTTTGTTGTAATAATTGTCTACCGATAAGCGGGAACTTATAGGCAAGAACTTGTTTTTGTTTTTCTTCCAGTGAAGGTGGTGTTTTTAAGGCTCATCTCACTTTCCCAAAAGATTACCCCCTCCGGCCTCCTAAAATGAAATTCATTACAGAAATCTGGCACCCAAATGGTAAGTTCATCTAGCTTTACTTTTACATTTGCAAATATGACGGCCTGCCTCTGAGGTTTTCAAGGTCAATAAGAGAGAGACAGTTCTCAAGGAAATCACTTTGGGATTTTTGTACTAAGCTCACTGTGTTTATTATGCACATGGCCTTGTATTAGTTCCTTTAGGACAGCAGGGGGAATGGACATCTATTTATTTGCTTAGTTTTCAGCTCTTTTCGAGACTCCCGATGTTCCGAACCAGAGGCATGGTTACTGGGTGATATTCAGCATGAGTAGAGCCCTCACAGTTGAGCAGATCACTTCCATGGTATCGGGTGACTCATTGTCTGTTCCAGAGAGGGGTAATTAAACCTGGATTTTAAATTTCTATTTCTCTTCTTCACTCTTAGACCGTGGGCAGCTCTTAACTTTTACCTTTATTCTTTAGCTGTTGAAAAGGGAGTGTCCTACCTGCCTCGTAAGGTGACTGGTGGGGTCAGAGGAGATGTGGTGCTCTGTGTTTTCACCTTCGGAAAACATCCAGTCCTGCAGTGCCTGAAATGTGGTGACATTGGCTTTTTTACCCAAAGATGTGTCACCATTTAAAATCCACTTTGCAAGCCAGAGGTTGGGCTGGGTAAAGTATGTTTGTACACTGCCTCCCCTGAACTTGGCCTCGTTTTGGTGACGGAGCTGGTGGGTGTGTCTTTTCTAAGTTGTCGGGTTTTCATTTCTGACGACTGTGCCCATCTGCTTCTCCTGGGACTTTGCGTCACCAGGAAGAGAAACTCCTAGGTTAGTCTAAGCAAAAGTCTGTGAGCAGAAATGAATGAATAAACGAAGGCGTTACTCCAGGGGTCTGGAGTGTGGACTCACACCCAGTGGCTTGAGAAACGGGCGGGAGTCTCTCTTGGGAGAGACTCGGGGTGGCTGACGGAAAACTTGCAGGAACCGAGGGGGCCGCTGTATTTCATCACGTCTGAGGAGGCGGTGAGCACAGGGACGCGTCACCACGTCGGTGGTGGAATGTGCCAGAGGGGGCCCTGCCTGGCGTGTGGATGCGCGAAGCGACAGCGTCCGCCCCCTGTTGTGTTGATGCCTCGCTGCTTCCTTCCTGGCGTCTGGGTCTGCCAGTGTCTCTTTCCTTCACTTGGATTATTTGGTGTAACGGGCAGTCTCCTTGCACCTGTTTCCAGAGAAGACGCAGCCAAGCTCCGAGTGTCGGCTCCACCACGGATTAGCTGTGTGGTCGCAGGTGAAACCTCTCTGAGCCTCGGTTTCCCCGTGAGAGCACACACAGGCAACACGCGGGACTTGTGAGCCGGAGGAGAGCCACGGCCCAGTGGTCTAAGAGGGCAGCCGTTGATGCGCGTGTTTCAGATGGAAGAGACTTCATTTTGGGGCCACAAGAGGGAGGAGTTAGCGAGACGATTGAAACATGACTGGAAAGAGGAGGGACTTTGTGAAGGAGGGCACCTGAGGATGTGGGCGGGGATGGCAGGTGTGGGGACAGAAGGTGCCAGGAAGGTGCCAGAGAGCGGCTGGGGAGGTGCGAGGAGCCCTGTGGAACCAGGTGGGGCCAGGCTGGCACTGGAGCTGGAGGTGGTGAGTGAGCTGTGGGCCCTCCTGCGGGAAGGGAGACACGGAGAGGACCGTGTTGTTGCAGGTAGAGGGGTCAGGGGGGTGCTTCCTAGAGATGTGGTGCTTTTTTTTTCTTCTTCTTCTTTTTTTTTATTTTTTGTTTTTTTTTAATGTTTATTTTTTTTTTTTT